GATCCGTGCGGCCTTAGACATTTTATTGTGCTAAAGTAGCGCCTAAGTCAGCTTTAACCACGTCTAAGTGAGAAATCATCTCACTAAGTGACAATCAAACCCATCAAGGCTTAACATAGATGAAGAAGCTAACACACTTTAGGCTCTTGAAAGCCAACAAGATTAAACAACTATTGTGGAATTTTAACATTGTAGGGTTATCTAGCCACGAAGAAAGACAACAAAACACAAAGGCTCTATGAACGAAAAAAGAGACACTTTTGAAAAAGTTAAGTGTCGGAAACAAAGCCAATAAAGCTAAGTCCCTCGGAAGTAAGCTAAAAAGCTTCGAAAACAAAGGAAACAAAATGACTAAGTCACAAGAAACAAAGTGACAAGAGAGAAACTTAGAGTAAATGCCTGAGTTGAATAACTCTGAAGAGAATAAATGAATTCAATGATTACAAATAATGAAGTGAGACTCCTATTTATAGTCGAGCTCTCTCAGATCTAACGGTCTAGATTGAATTACATCAATGACCCAGATTGACATAAAATCATATCAAAATCTTATATAAAGAATTTAAATTCAAACCAAACATTATCTATTTCAATTTAAGCATTTATCTCCTTAAATGATGATATAATTATTCATTCTGGAAACTTCTAAAGAACGGGTCAGGTCTGATGGTCTTGAGCAAGCCCGATATTCCGGACGACTCTTTTACGGATATCCACGAACGCATATCTCGGTTCAAACTTCACGAGCCTAAAAAATTGCCCCCACCTAACCTTGAAACGCCATCTACACTTTTATCTCAGATGCCCTCGAACTTAATCCTTCACGGAATTAGCATTCTCCAAGAATCGAACTAAATTAGCTTGCCCTGTCAAGCCCAAACCTGGGGTTCATGCACACAAGTCACGGACCCAAATCCGTAAACCGTGACATGATAAACTGGAGACAAATTTAATATTATCATCATAAATTTAACACTAATTGTTCTATAAATAAAAATATTTATACCCCAAGTAAGATAGAGAAAAATGATTTATCTCTCTTGCTCTATCTTTCTCATTTGTCATTTTTTCTCCTTTATAAATTATTGAACTTCAGTTTTTTCATTAAAAAATCGATTAACTATATTTTAATATTGATTATGATTCTTCAATCAATAAAAATGAATGAACCATTTATGTTCAATCTACACAACTTATTTCCATGAATAATTTGATTTGATCACATAATTACTTTTAATTTATATTTAAATGAAATCTTGAATACATTTATTTTATATTAAGATTGTAACAACCGAATAAGCATGATAAAGCAAAAATTAAAAACTAGAAAATGGAGAAGGATTAAAGAAGGCGATAATAAAGATTAAGAAAATGGAAAAGATAAAAGGGGACCACAAGGCATGGGCATGTGGGATGGTCTCCAACAGGAGCAACCTGAGCCGATGCGCACATGCACTGCACTTTGTTATTTTTTTTTATAGAGAAAAGCCAAAACGACAAGTCCTCCACTGCCATGCGTTGCTCCGATATTGGTCGAGCCTGGCCTTTCCTTATCCGACCTTAATATCACCACGTTCTACTTTGCATTTTTTAACAATGATTTATCAAAATGATTATTTTATCTTTTATTTTATTTTTAAACCATTTTAGCTCTTGATATGGCTAAATTTTGTAGATAATGAACTTGGAAAAAAGAATTCGTGAAATAATGCAGTTGAAGAATTAATTGTCGGGATAAGGTGATTTTTACAGTAAAAAGATTAGTCGTCAGGTATTCCGAGCAACCTGTACAAAAATAAGATTGATCGTCAGATATTCCGAACGACCTGTACAAAAATAAGATTAGTCGTCAAGTGCTCCAGGCGACCTGTGCATGTCGACATATCCTCCATGCGTTCACACAAATCAGGAACAAAATAAAGTATTTAAGGATTACAACTAACACCTTACCTCATCTTCCCTAAGAAGAAAAAAAATAAAAAATCCATATCATGCAACCACATTACGACACATCCGCAGTTCAAATTCCTAAATTCAATCTCAATAAACATGTAAAACTATTGAATATAAAATATATTATGGATAAAAAATATGGGAACACAAATCAGAAGGCAAACTTCACTAGCGGAACAAAATACTCATTGGTGTCGCCTGGAAGGGATGGCGACACCCTTTGGTATCGCATGGAAGGGATGGCGACATACTTGTACTGTAGCATCATCCCTATTTCATGAAATAATTTATTCGAATCATTATTTCACGAATTCTTTTTCCCAAGACCATTATCTAAAAAATTTAGCCCTCTTGATATTATATTTTAGGGTAAAAACACAAGATAAAATAATAACTTTATCTCTATTTTTTAAGATATTTTAACCCTTAACGTTTTATTTTAGATAAAAAAAAATTTATTTTGAAGCGTTAATTGGGTGTTAACTAATGATTTTCATTTATAAAATGAGTTTTTTGTCCTAAAATGAAACGTGAATGACAAAATCTAAAAAAAATGCCGAAATTATCGTTTTAATAAATGGTTGTCCCTCTTTCCCATATGTATAAGGTAAGGGAAAGTAAGATAGTATACTACCCCAACACCAGGTTGAGAGCAACTTCCGTAAGAGACCTCCGAATTATGAAAATGCCCTCTGTGAAACTCGATCCCACGACTTTAAGGTTAAAAACCTTGTACTTTACCAACTGAGGAATGTACATTTTCATTATGCCTTTCTATTATTATGTAAATTTTAATTACTGCCGCTTGTGGTCCAAAACCCGACTACCCTTTTCTTCACTTTAATCAACGAAATGATATTATGATCGTGAAATAATATTTCAACTTACAATTTAATTCAATTTTTTAGATAAAATTTTATACGTATTCCAATTTGATTCAATATAAATATTTTTATTTAATAAAATAAAGATTTAATTAAAAAATATAGAAATAATGACATTATAACAATTATACATAAATACATAAAAACAAATTATACTATTGTCCTAAGTTAATTCAAGTCGAATCAAAGTATTTTTTCTGTAAACTCAAATATGACTTGCCCTTAACATTTACAAATTCCAACCCAAACAAACCTGAAATCAAAATTTTAAAATTCGATTTTGTTAAGTCGGATTGGGTCAAAAACCATCGGTAAAGTTTCTATTTTTATTCGTCAAAATAGGGATTTAGATAAAAAAAATTAAAGAAAAAATAATATTTATATTAATTATCTCTAACTATATATAAGAGAGTTATAATATTATTCTATGTCGAGATTTTCCACCTTAATTCGACTTGACCCGATTTAAATTTATTTTTAAAAAATCAATCTTATTAAATTAAATAAGATCCAAATCCCCTTCCTAATGGGTTTGACTTGGAGAGACTTGGATATGACCTTCACTAGATGATGATTATAGGTCATGTGTAACGATGATTAAAGGGAAGTCAATGCTTCTTAAGTGCTTAATCCCCCAACCTGGATGTGCAAGCTTTGTATTTCCATGTGATATGTGATTCACAACCTGAACTGTAAGTTGTTTAAACAAATAGAGCCTGAAATAGCAAGTCTCCCAAGGTCAATGGCTGAGGAACAAGGCCCGACGTCTTAGCCAAAACGTAAGCCAATTCTGGATATCAATTCCACCCTCTTTGTTAATGTCACATTTGCATGCAAACCTCTTAGCTGTGCCTGCCTGTCTAAATATATATATTGTTAATAGAAACTTTTCGCATTGAAGGGATACTATTGAGATATTGTCTTTTGTATCATACGTGGGGGGTGTAAAAAACGTCTCGTGTACTCGTATTGGTGAGAGAGCTCAAATATCCCATACAACTCGTATCCAATAGGTATCTAAAACTCAAGGATTAAATTAAAAAAATTAACATATCAATGTCATAAAATTAACAACAATACAATAACTAAAATATAACAGTCCATTGATAAAAAAAAAACAAAAACAAAGAAGTGCAAGTGAAAACAAAGAAGGGATATATGGGTGGTGGTGCCAATCCCTTTGATGGTTGAAGAGGATGTGAGTTCCAACATGGATAGATTCAAAGTTGAAAGCTAATGAGATGTTGGGTTCGTGATTTCTCCAACACCCAAATCTGGGTCGGGTCCTGCCTTCTTCCTCTACCCTCGTTGTGTGATTCTACCAAAAACTTGGACCCACTTCGCCGGGGATTTCACTCATTTTGCATATGTTATCACGCCGCTTCATTAGGCTATAAATATATACATAATTGAGCAATGCATAAAATCATAAATTTTCAGTATTAAAATAAAATATTTATATTTTAACCTAGTTTTTTTATTTTTTATTTTTAATTAAAATTAATAAATTTAATAGATTGTGACCACCGTCGGTCTAAACATTAGTAAAGTTCTTTCGTATTTTAGAATTTATTTTGTAGATATGTCTTTCTTTATTTTATTTAATAAAATTTTATTTTATTTAATAAAAATTTGATGTTTTTATATTCTATTATAAAATATTTAATTTTGATTTTATATTTTTTTAGATCAAATTTATAATCCTTTTGTTAATTGTTAATCTATATTGTTTTAGATACTTTTTTTTTTCAATTTTAATAGGTTTCACAAACTCCAATATTCTTTATTAGAGTAATATTGATGATATTTATCCTTCACCACCAACATAATATTTATTTGTTTCTATTTTTTAAACTATTTAATTAAAAAATTTAGACCTTTCCTACATAGTCGTGTATATATATATATATATATGACATTTGTACACATAGTCATAAAAATTATTATTTGAAACAAATCTATGGAAAACAAACTTTAACGTTCAATATATTCGGAATATTTGATTAAGGATGGTCGTTCAAGAGGAAAAAATCTCGAGTAAATATCACAACACTAATGGCTAGAAGTTACCTGGCCATGATTCTGAACAGTGAAGGAGGCCAGCGACTAGAGAGAATAAGTTAGCTAATGAGGAAGAAGATTATATGAGTCGGCAACTAAACATTATTCACTTTTTGAGTGATCAGTAGAAGAAGATTCGACCATGTTAATATCCCTAGAATACTTCTTGATCCTCAACGAAATAACAATGCTTGACATAATCCCGAGTGAAGGTAAAATATATGACCAAACCTTTGATTTCTGAGACCCAGATGCCGAAGCAACCGCTGCACCAGCAAGGCTACCGATGGAGGTGTTCTGCAAGATCATCGGGACACTGCCAACAACAGTAGGAAGCAGAAAATCCACTATGAATCTAACATTTGTGGCAGCCAGAGCATAATTGATGACATAGGAAGGGATGGGAGAGAAACGTGCAAGAATGACGAATCTCCAACCATCACGTTCGGTGCCACTAGAGAGGATATGGAAGTATTTGTTGCTATGGACCAAGTTCATTGCAGAAGTCAAACGTTTGAAAACTATAGCCTAAACAGATTCATAATACCAAAGTTGGTTATTATTCGTAATAATATATAGTTCTCAAAAAGAAAAAAAATGATCAATGGAACATCAGATTCAGGATGCCAAGGAAAATGAGTAGAGGCACACTCGCGATACACAGGCTGGATATTGGTTTTGCGAAATCAAGTATAAACAATGCAAAATTGGTTTTTCGATGATTGGTTGCTTACACTAAATTCACTAAGATTATGCTCTTTCTCGTCATTCTTTCAATGAATATAGCTGGACAAACAGAGAAGGTTAGGGGGTGATGCCATGCCCTTCAAATTGACATTGGCATTGATGAACACTACTCTGATTTCCCTTAATTTATTATACATGAACTTCTGACAAATAAATCCTTTAATTATGGGTAAAATACACTCCAGGTGACTCAATTATGTCTTTGGTAACAAACTGGTCACTTTTCCCCCTAAAAGTTACAAACATGCCACTCAATTAAAATATTATTATACATAGGTCAATCTATCGTTAAAATTAAAACAGACATTTAATATGACTGATATATGACATTTCTAGACCCCAAAACTCATACATTGTATCAATATTATCCTAATTCAAAACATTAAATAAATTAAATCTTCACATTTAAAAATTCCATCAATTTAGTCTTTTGTGCAATATTGTCAAATCAAGCAAGCCCATGGGATCAAAGCGCAGTTGGATAATTGCATTCTACCCTAAAGCAGTAACAAGTTATTGTTTAACTGCCATTATACCAGGAAAGTAATATAGCATTTATGGGAAGAGAACAAGCAATTTAAGAGGGAAAAAAAAGACTAAAATGATGAACGTTTTAAATATGAAGTGTTAAATTTATTGAATTGTTTCGAATTTTTTCATAGGTCTTCAATTGATACCCGAATCCAAGCAACCAGTATTCAAGCTTTAGATATTATTAGTGCAGAATTCAAACAAGTTAATTGAAAGACTTGAACCACTCAAGGTTTTAATTTTGCTACTAGCATTTGATAGGCTCAACTGTAATTTTTCTAGATCTGAAATGTAGGACACTTGTACATCAATTAGTTTCACTTATTTTCGAATAATTGTCTGTTTGGGCCTTTTTTTTTTTGGGTATTTTCGCATTTATATTAGGTGTTGTACAATCTTACAGTGAAGCTTAGAGACCTATATTTTCTTTACTTGATTTCCATGTTTTATCAAGAATTTCAGATTAGAAAACTGTCATAAAACTAACCAGCTATGTAGTTAACTGTCCTACATCAGTTTCAGATTATAGCTAAAAGATCAAAACATTGCTGTAAATCTCGTTAAAAGGGGAGACAATTGAAAAACCAAATCAAAGGCTAAGCACTTTATCAGGATCAAAAGAGGCTACATCCAGTGCACGATGCTCTCACTACAAAGCAGGGTCAGGGGAAAGGTTAAAAGTTGATTATAACCAGTTTTTGTGTGTGTACATGATGAGATTTGAACTTTTAACCTTTGGAGTTATATTAAAGAGCACACATTAACTCAACTGAATAATTTTATTAATAAAACTGATAGTTATAATGGGATTACCATTCTTAGGAGCCCTAAAGAATATTATTAAAGAATTTCAAGTATTATTACCCTTATGATATTGTAATTCAATCAACCTTAGGTGTCACCACCAAGGAACCCTAGACATGAAGCTAGGGAATATAATACCATCTTCTATTTCCATTAATTCATTTTTCTCTACTTTATCAAGAATTTCAGATCAAAATACTATTGAAGATACTAAATTTTTACCCATTTTATTATTATTATAATTATTATCATAATTATTATTATTATAATTATTATATATATATTATTATTATTAAAAAAATATAATAATAATAATAATTACAAACAGGCCCATATTAGACCGGCCCAATTACAAATGGCCCATAACAAATCCTAACAGATTAGGGTTTCCCTCTTCCCAGCCGTCTCAGCTTGCTACCGTTGGATCTGGCAAGATCCAACGGTCCAGAGATACCCAACAAGGAAACCCTAGGGTATCATAACCCTAGGGACACGTCCCAGCTGCCAGTGCCACGCCGCGACACCGCCGCCTTGCTAAAGAATCCAGAAGCTTTGCTGCTTCAACACCAGCCGCACACGTCTCCCCAAATGGTGAGTCACCACTGGAAGTCCGGTGACTCACCGAAGAACCCCTTTTGGGACCGGTCCGAAGCTATCACCAGTGGTGGATATAAAAGCCACCGAGCCCCTGCCAAGAAAAAGGAGAGACCGAGAGAGACCAGCAAAAATAGAGAAGAAAAAAAAAACAGAGAACAAAAAAAAGAAAACCTCACAAACACAGCAAGGAAAGGAAGTAGAGAGACTCACCGCGAAAGTCACTGCCTTGATCGGAGTCACCACCGGCCTCCAAACATCACCAACAACCTTCGAAAACCGAAGTTATATCTCTTAGATTTACTCCGATTAGGAGCCATTTAAAAGAAAAGATCATCGGAACCGTCATTAGGACGGTCCGATCTATATTTTAAGACAAAAAAAATATTCCGGCCACCGAAGGCGGTGGTCGGCGGTGGAAGAATGCCGGTGGACAGCTGCCGGCCGGCTAGCTTCTCTCTGTTTTAGAGAGAAGCGAGAGAAAATTCTCTCTCTCAGAGAAGAGAGAGAGAGGAAAAAAAGAGAAATGAAGCTGGCCCTTCGGGCCAGCCGGATTTGGCTTTAAATAGCCCTTCCCGAACGACGTCGTTTCGGGGAGGGCTATTTGTGTAATTTTTAAATTGTTAAATCCCGTCCACCATCCCTTGAATTTATAAACTTTACATTTTAGTCACTAAATCGAATTTATAATCCTTTTAATTCGGTTCTTTAATTTTAATTTTATTTATTTTAGTCCTTTGTATCAAAAATAATATATTTAGGGTAAATAACAGATTTAATCCCTTAATTTTAATAATTAATATTTTAATCCCGAGTTTATATTTTTAATTTATTTTAATCTGATATTCTAATTTTAGATAAGTTTTATTTTAGTCACTAAATTAATAAAATAAGAAAATAGCATGTTTAATCCCTATAATTTTGATTAATTATGAATTAGGTTTTTAATTTTAATTTTACTATAATTTAGTCACTAATTTTAAATGTTTCATTTATTTTACTGCTTTTAAATATATCGTTCTAATTGTATTTTTATTGTTTTAATTGTTTATATATTTAAATATTTTTATTATTATTATGTAGTCATAAATATATATAATAAATAATAATTTATATTTTTTTCAATAAATTATTTTAATATTTTTTCAATATCGAAGAAAAGGGCAGTCTTAATACAACTGGATGTCCTATTCTGGTATTTTAAAAATAAATGCTATAAAAATTATTATTTAATTTTATTTAAATTAATATTTATTAATATCAAAGAAAAGAACTGTCTTAAGGCACCTAGAAGTCCTTTTCTGATATTTTTAAATAAATAAATATTTTATATAATTTTGAAATAATAGGATTATAAATTAAATATATTTTAAATTTTTAAATTTTTAATAATAGAGACAATTTATAATTAAAAAGTACCAATTTTGGGCGTTGTAGGGGTGCTAATCCTTCCCTAAACGTAACCGACCACAAATCCCTTTTTATTATTAAAAAGAACGAATTTTTGGTTATAAACGCAGATCAGTTCATTTTTTTAATTGATGTTTTCTTAAAACTCTTTTAAAAAAAAAATAATTTTTAGGTATTCGACCTACCTGACCCAAAAGGCCGATGGCGACTCCCAAATTATTTTCAAAATTATTTATTCACATCAATTTTCCCGCCAAATAATTTTTTCGTGCCCGGACGAAAACGGGTTAAGACAGTTTGGCGACTCCGCTGGGGAGATGTCAAACTTTTAAAATCAATTATAAATTGTCTCTATTAATTATAAATTAAAAATTCATATATTTGATTTATAATTCTTTCTTTTCAAAATTTTTTTTATATACTTATTATTTTCATAGTATTTATATATTTTCTTATTAATATTTCATTTTATTTGCAAATATTTTATTTCATTATTTTTTCTGTCAGAGGTTTGAACATTTCTCCTCACACACAACACTTGCATTGCATAACATAAAGCTCTATAATTGAGTTTGTCCCTTTTAAGTGGGAGTGAAAGCGACGTCTTCGTGAGAATTTATTCTCTGTGTCAGACCTAGCAAGTAACTTTCGGGGTTCATATGCTCTATATCTTCGTGAGAATTTATTCTCCGTGTCAGGCATAGAGAAATGTATCCCCTCGAATTGAACTCGATTCACTTTAGTCTGTGATGGACTAGGATTGAGGGTTATCAACCCAAGGGGGCAATAACAAGGACAATTCGGGTACCTTTATTCTTAGATCTGAAACCTTGCATATAATAAACCCTAAAAACTCTTCTGATTTGAAGTCATGCCGAAATTTTGTCCAAAATAGGTGTACACACAGGAGAAATGAATTCTAACTTTCCTGTTAATTTATTTTTTTTACTGATTAAATTACATGTAAATTTAAATTATTTAAATTATGAAAAAGCATGTTTAAATAAAGATATTTAGGTAGATATTATTGTTAAATTCTTTATTATGTAAACTAATTCATTTTTTTGTGTTCTTTATTTTTTTATTTTGCATAGCATCATACAGGATAAAAGGAATTGATCCTCGTGTTAATTGTCTCATTGGAAAGCCTTCATCCATGGATAAAAAATGTTCAAATCAAATAATTCTAAACTCAGAAGTAAGACAGTGGGCTGAGGACTTACAAAGACAAGAAGGAGACAGTCTGCAGGATGATTATGTATTTGACTTGGCCAGTTATGCTCCAGTTTCGCTAAAAAGAAATGAAATGCTAGATTTGCGAAGCATTTGGGAAAGTTGGGATTCAAACAAAAAATTGCAGTTTTATCAGACTTATGGAGACATCCCATATTTACTCTATGTCGAAGTTGATG